TTCTGTTCACAACCCACAACACTGCCATCACGATGCTGCAGCTATGTTGCTGACACGCACAAATACAGAACTTACGGCCACTATAGTGGGACGCAACGCCACTGTCAAAAAAAAGCCTCCTTTGTTGTAGTATAATTTCAAGGACAAAAACAAGCGTCTTCTTTCAGTCCCTCCTTCGCAAAAGTTGATGACTTAACTGAGGGGTCGCAGTACCCTCAGTTACCATTATATTTGTACTAAAACTATGTGCAAAAGCTAATATAATTATATTCCTAGCCGACGTGTTGGGATAAGTATACATCTAGCAAAAAGAATAAAACAGGAAGAGAACGAGACACAGACGGCCCCATGTTTTATTCTTTGTTCTAGAAGTAAACTAATATAAATGTACCTGTTCGTTGTTTTGCCGCCCCTATAATATTGTGTTTTTTCGGAAATGGTAATATTTTTTTAAAAAGAGAGTTTCATTCGAACTATAAAGAAAAAAAAAAAAAAAACTGTGCTCTATTCCGACAGAGCAGATGAGTGTTATGATGTTGCCGTGTTAACTTCTTATGACTTATTCTAATCTCGGGTAGCAAAGGTCCGAAAAGACATTCCTTAGTGTAAAACGACGTTACTAATATCTTGGAAAACGTATTTATTAAAACCTCGTCTGAGGCCCTTCATGTAGAGGGTACTCTTTTAATATAAATAACTGAATAATGAGCAACTACTCAATTAGAAAAACAAGCTTAAAGATACAATCTCACAAAATCTCATATGCCAACAGAGATAACATACAACTAGAGGTTCTTTCCTCCTTTGAGGCGTGCTATTGTTTTGCGCAGGCGTTCACGCTTTTTAACCCAAATGAAATAAAGCAAAAGTTTGAAAAAACAAAGTCTGTACGCAGTTTTATCAGTACCTAACCGTCTTTTTGAACAAAAATTCTGTTGTTGCAATCTCTATCTTGACACATTGACCACAACTGTTCGTGCGCTGTCGGCAAAGAAAAATACAAATCTAAATGCAACAAAAAAAAAAAAATTGAAGGAATTGGCGGAACATTCCCCAGGGACGGGACAACCGCGAAGGCCGTTGAAAGCTTGAGTGTCGCGGCGATGTCGTGAAGAACGGCCCGCACCTCCCGACGATCGAAGAACATTTCGTAACGTTATTGTGTAGACACTCGCCGCACCCTGTTTGTTGCCATATTTGTCGAGCAACCGCTACGCCTCTGGCAGCCGCATGCGTCCAGCGGTCAGTCACCTTCGCTTACAAAAGCTATCGGAGCACGACAGACAGCCGAAACAACAAGGGGATGGGCGGAAATGGCGAAAGTTACCCAATCTGATTGTCTGGCACCTCTGTAGATGCCCGGGATATCCTGGTTTTTGTTAGGCTATAAAGCGACATCGTGTATGTCGGTGCGCGTCGTGTGTGTTTTGTTCGTTACGCTTCTTCCTGAAAACGGACAATGCTGTGAAGGCACCCTACTGTAGGAGCACGCGGTCTTTGGTGATGACGGTGCCTCTTGCTGAAGCGTACCGTATGTTCCTTCCGAGTGTGGCGGGCGCATGGCGGAAAAGGAATATGTGTCGATGCGTTTTTTTTTTTTTTTTTTTATCACTGTCCACAGACCGGTTCCTGCACCCGAGGTCCCATATCCGTAGGATTCCGTGTTTTCGGAGTTGATTCTTTCTGAAATTCGGAGGGTTCTTTTCGGAGTTCTATCGGAGTTTATTTTGAAATATTCATGATTATCCGAAATTTGAAGTTTAAATTTTCTTTGTTCTATATTTCTAAATAAGAAAAAAAAATATTCGGAGAAAAACGTCCACCAAATTCATAAAAAAAAGAAAGAAAAAGTCACCGGTATCGAAAGATATTTTTGAAGCTCTGTTTGGTATTGGAGCCCTTGCGATTGGCAGTACTAACTTTCCCGTGACACATCTTGAAAACAAGTGAAACTTGAATAAACGTCGGTACTTTAAGATAACCAAACACGTACAATGCTTTCAGCTGCCGTCTTCATCCTGTGAAATCTACAGGTTCACGCCTTCCACTGCTCTAAAAACACAACCTCTCCGTCCTCTAAGAAGCTCAAATGGGATCCACCCTGAAAACCGGAATAGTGACTTTTGTCGTGGTTCAGAAATAGAAGTACCCATTGTACTGAAAGAATATTAACGATACAAACGACGAAACGTTTTTTTTTTTTGTCAATAAACAAAAGAAAAAAAAAATTATTGGCTTTTTCTAAAATTTCTAGCTGAGAGCTTTGACAAACTTTATTCGTAAAATATCATCTTTTTTTATTTTTATTTTGACCTCAAAATTTTGAGGTTTTTGGATAAATCCGAATTGCCGTACTTTTACCGGCGAGTGTTTCTCGGAGCTCATTGAATTTATTCGCGAACACGGGACCCGACATATCCGTCATCCATCGATTGTACTGGATGCCTGGAAACATCCTGGAACGGAGTGACTTTTGGCAAATTTGCCGCAAGTTTGATAACAATTTGTGATAACCGTCACTTGTGCCACTCCTTGGCTCCTAGAGAACGTAAGAGTTCAAACATCAAAGTACCCACTATTGCTAGAGAAAGGTACGCTTGGAAAATAACACCGAGAGCTACAATTAGAGACAAAGGAGCGTGTTGAGCGCTGCTCACAGTTAGTCACACTCCCGCCTACATGAAGACTATGATTAATTAAATTAAGCAGACTGCAAAAGAAAGCGATGCTAACTTCAATGGATTACCTCAGTGTCTCCAGCTATCAAGCATATATTCATTGTATATTCGTCATAAATACGAAGTGCTAACTATGGCTTCCATGCGCACCCCGATACTCAAAATTGGGGCAGTTCCCGCTTGGAGACAATTTTTGTGGCCGCATAGAGCATACGAAAGATTAATCTGCCTAGCTTTAATCGGCACTCAAGATCTGCGAAGGCTCGTGAAATACAGATACTTTTGAAATAATCAGGGGGGTAAAGGTGGGTGAGGAGGAGTGGCAAATCCCGTGCGCCGACATCCTGGGTCCCGAGTGAACGAACGCAAAAGAGAGCGACAGAACACGAGAGAAAGAAAGCAACGTTGCCATTGTAACGCGAAGAGTGAAAACTCTCAGCAATATAAACAGTAATAATTTAATGTTGTAAACTAAATTATGAGCTATTCTAACGCTTATAAAAAGCAATAAACTCATTACGCTGCATTAACTTCTTTTCTGTCGAAATCTCGGAAATCTGGTGGTTGCGCAGTTTTGTATTCCTCAACCGCGCCCAGCCACGCCCCACCGGCGAAGCCGGGTATATGGTTTAGTTTAGCGTTAACGCGAGGCCGTACATCTGCGCGCTTTTCAAAAAGAAAGCTTCGAAAGGAACGTGAATATCTTTCCACCGGTAAGTTCGTGAATTGTTGAAGTTCACGAAACTGCTCTGATGATGTAACCGTGTTTGGGACCCCGAGGGTCTGCCTGCATGATTCGCCGCTTGCGGCAGCCAGAATGTATGGGAAAATGGCAGACCTTTTCCTCTAGAGTTAGCATAGAGATCATACATACTAACTCTAGAGGAAAAGGTCCGCCATTTTCCTATACATTCTGGCTGCCGCAAGCGGCGGATCATGCAGGCAGACCTTCTGGGTCCCAAACACGGTTACATCATCAGAGCAGTTTCGTGAACTTCAACAATTCACGAACTTACCGGTGGAAAGATATTCACGTTCCTTTCGAAGCTTTCTTTTTGAAAAGCGCGCAGATGTACGGCCTCGCGTTAACGCTAAACTAAACCATATACCCGGCTTCGCCAGTGGGGCGCGGCTGGGCGCGGTTGAGGAATACGAAACTGCGCAACCACCAGATTTCCGAGATTTCGACAGAAGGGAAGTTAATGCAGCGTAATGAGTTTATTGCTTTTTATAAGCGTTAGAATAGCTCATAATTTAGTTTACAACGTTAAATTATCCCTGTTTATATTGCTAAGAGTTTTCACTCTTCGCGTTACCATGGCAACGTCGCTTTCTTTCTCTCGTGTTCTGTCGCTCTCTTTTGCGTTCGTTCACTCGGGACCCAGGATGTCGGCGTACGGGATTTGCCACTCCTCCTCACTCACCTTTACCCCCGTGAGAGTTAGTATGTATGATCTCTATGGAAATAATTTGAATGAACTCCGCCAGGCTGCGCCACCAAGTAAGTTGACCAAGTTGACGCGAGTATAGCCAGGCGTTGGGGCTGTCCACTTTCGGATACATTTATAAAATATTTTTCCAGTTTTGTTAATATAAGCTGTTCTGAAATACGTATGTTTACATGCTGCTCTAATCAAACTAGTTAAGCAATAACATCAGCGATAATAAGAACTACGTGCAGGTAACAGCAAATTAAAAAAAAAATAAAAAATACCTGTAAAAAAATAATATAAACGACCGCTCCGTACCTGGAGAGCGGCCCGAGAGCTAAACACGAAACCGATAACTCTAGCTCAAAGCCAAAGAAAGCACAAATCCAGAAACCCATAATCCGCGTTCTCCCCTCCTTCCCAAAGAAATCAAAAACAAAGAAGAAAGATGCAGAAAACGGCAATAAACGCTCTCCGGAAGCGAACTTCCCTTCCCGCGGCAGCACCCACGTGACGAACCGGCGCGCACTTCCGGTCGGTCCCGGTGTCGCCGCCCTGGCGAGCGATCCGAGAAACAGCAGCAAAGCAGACGCAGCAGACGACGCGCGCTCGCGGGAGAAGCGAATGAACGGCGACGCGGGACGGAGCGGCGCAGGATGACTCACCGAGGCTTCGTCGGATGCTTCGGACGGCGTCGCTTTTCCCACCAACGGCTTCCACCTGCGTGAAGCGGTGAAAATGGAGTTTACTATCGCGGTGCTTCTGTCAACGACGCCGTCGATTCGGCCAGCACCGTGCTGTTTTGTGTGTGGGTGCCAGTGAGTGCGTGCTGCCGCGGGTTCGCTTCCTTTGTTGACGCGGTGGCTAGCGTCGCCGTGCTACCTCGGCCGACATGCAACGCGGTTTCTGGCGCTACGCGCTGGGCGCTTGGTTTCTTCTCATGGACTACGCGGCGACGCCGTGCTCGAGCAAGGATATGAACGAACTCGATGAAAGTAAGTACCCAACGAGTTTGTCGTGACCTCGCTGTTTACCGTCTTCTGTGTTGTTGCATGACAAAAGACTGCTAATACACCGTACAAAAGGCAATCTGCGGGCAGTCGGAGACATATGTTTCTTTCTTGTACGTCACATTGGCCTTACAAAAACTGCCTGCATACATGCGTGTGGAACAAACACGTTTCGAAGATGCTTTACGAAACGAACACCGCGGGTCTTTTGTATGGTGTGAATGCGTCTTCATGCTCGCGTTGCGAATTCGGAGACAGTCTAGCAATGAGGCTACGATATCATGGCTTATATTCAACCATGCGAGATCAAACGTGTTTGTTCATTTTTGCGTCACCATTCACCTCGAGAGTTATCCGCTCGCTCCCAAGAGCACACGGCTCCAATCAGAGCGTTCGTCGTTCGAGCTTCACCGCGTTGCTGGCAGAGAGCCTCGTGGCGAAGCACGCCGACATCGCTCCGGCCGCGTCTCCTGGGGAATCAAAGCTCGCGGAGCGGGTCCTCATCGGCCGATTCGGACACCTCCGGCGGACCGGAAACCGCAATCCGTCCAATAATCTGATGACGCAGATTTCGACTCTCTCGCTGCTTCGGGTAGCTTAACCAGGCGACGCTATACGCTCAACTGTACGTTGCTCGTTTTTGTTTTTGTTTTGTTTAGCTAAGTTTTTCTATAATTGACTAGGAACTGCATAGAACCATAGATTGTTGATCTAGTTTCAGTTCACTATTCATGGCTTGCACGTGAGGTCATCGCACCATGCTGGGGGTCATTCCTATTTGTTCTTGCGGAGAGAAACAAATTAGGCCTTATTAAATGACGAAAATATTATAAAATATTTTTGTCATACCTTTCGAGCTCGCTTGCATTTTTGCATTTAATTGCATTAAAACCCTTATTAAATGTATGCGGCAAAAGCTACACCCGCCGGCAATATGAAGGTGAACACCTTACCTGGTTTCTCAACGTCTCAAACGTCTCAACTCTCAACGTCTCAAATGGTACGTGGCTTGGGGTCTAAACTTTGCGTTCTAGCCCTCTTCTGGGACAGAGCTTCTTCCAAAACTTGAAGGAGCGTCAAAAACAAGAGAGCTGTTCACCTTCATATCGCTCATGAGTGTACGCGTTCAGCAGCAAAAGCCACCACCATTGATTTATTCCCCTAAAGTCGCGGTCATATCGTTCAATGCAGACATGATGAAAGAATTGCATGACTAGTGTGATCGAACCACCATATAAAGAAGAAACAGGACTCAGACCCCAACCCCCCGGTAACTAGGACTTCCTACACAGAGTATACAAAGCTATGCTACACACCCGCAGAGCTCCTCTCCAGATATTTTGGAACATCCAGACGGACAATCTCGGATAAATCTTTGACCACCGCCATTGCAGCTCGTGTGACGTTGATGCCAGCCATGCATAAACAAGCACCGCGAGTGTGAACGCAAGGAACGGGCGGCAGCAGCGACGCCGATCCAGAAATTGGTCAGCGTGCGTTTCTAGTACCGCGGACGTGCTGCGCGTTTGTAAACAGATCAGGCGTCGATTTGTGCCTCTGTAAGAACGCGAAAAAGAAAAACAGAAAGAAAAGCCAGCGAGAATTTGCAATGCAAAGAAGTCGAATGAAGGCCACGTTTTAAATTCGCTCTTCTGCAGCGAAATATCTGGTTGCGTGGTGGATACATCATTGAAGCGGTTTACTTAAATAGGGCGCTATTAACGCGAATGAGTGATATTAGTCTCTGCAATTCCGTGGCTCTGAGCGCGCTTGTTCACGTGCTTGAGTTTGAAGAATTACTCATGAGCCACACGCATGTGTGAGCGATCCATACTTGAGACACAACGCTGTCAAAGCTGCTGGTACGAAAGCATCTCTTCACCAGTGTCTCATTTTCGCGAGCGGCACGTGGACGTGAACCGCAAGGTCAAGCCATACACTCGAGCCAGCAGCTTTGACAGCGCTGTGCGCTAGCGCAGAGATGTTTCGGTGGCGTCCCTTCATAGGTGACTCCCCGTCCCGCGACTCGCGGGACTGTCCCGCATTGAGGGCTCGTGTCCCGCGTCCCGCGAGAAATTCCCGAATCTTCAAAATGTCCCGCATTTCACACTGTCGTAAAATTCGCTTTGCAACTTATGGTGCTTCCCAGCAATGCGGCACGGGGAAGCGCGGGGGTCGCTGCATCGCAATGGTACGAGATTTTCTATCCAAGCATAGCGAAAAGCGACCGGCATTCTTGCAGGGGAACTGACGCGCATGCGCCGTTGTGCCTCTCCCCTTGGTTGCAAAATATTGTGAGAGAAATTTACTCGCCAAAATTTTAAATATGAAGTCCTGTAATTATTTTCATATCGTCGTGTGAATGCAAAAGTGTCGCTGAATGTTTTTTTTTTTCTTTTTAGTGAAGGCAGAAAGCCTGCAACTCGCAGCGGTCCAAAAAGAAAATAATGTTGTGCGTAGAACCATGCTGAATACCCGAAAAAGATTTACTGCTCCTTAATTTCGTTTAATGCACTGAGTTCTGCTGCAGTTGATTTTTATACTTTCAACTTCGACACATTTAATAACATGAAGATATATCCCTGAGAGTGAAAATGATTTTAGAATAATTATTTCAAGGCAATTTGCGGGTGTATAAACCGCAGAAGGTATTAAATGTGTTAAGAGAGCTCGTTTCGTGTTCGTAAATTCCTCCCCCACCTCACTCACCCCCCCCCCCCCCCCCCCCCCCTCCCCGGTCCCGTGTCCCGCATTTCGCTAGCAGAAAGGTGGTCACCCTAGTCCCTTCCTATGGTTTCCATCTGTGACGTCGCGACCAGGATTTGCCTCTCGCCGTCATGTCAGGAGTTGTGATGAAGATGTTGTACGCCAGGACGTGCAGGACAAAGGTTGCTTCTTCTTGGAGTTCTGAGCACGTCCAAGGTGATAACAGGGAGCATGCAGGAAGATGTAGAATTGCACGATTGCCCGCCAATTTTACTGCAGCGCTGGCTTTCGATCTCCGTGCTCGAGAATTACGTAATCTGTCACGTAACTTTCTTCAAAACGCACGTGGCAGTTCAGACCTGCAAATTCTTGACTCGATGATGATAGAATAAGTGCTATTAGTTGTCGGTCACTTAATACACATCTAAAATAAAATAGATGAGCCCTGAATAATAAGATGAGTGCGCTTAAAACAGACGTACGCAGACAAAGCAAGTGTGCAAACACTGGACCTGCACCAGTTCCTAGGCCATTTAGTCAAAGTGATTTATTAGGGAAACATACCCTTAGCGAACACTAAGACGTTTCAAATATACCACATTCGAATTTTAGTGTGTTTGAAGTGCAGTTGATAATTGTAACTACATAAAAAATAGACCGAAAATGTTCACTTCTTTTTGTTTTTTTTTACTGAGTACTACAATATATTTCTGAAAATCTTTTTTTAAAATACCTTTATTTAAACTACATTTTAAGTTCCTTTCATGCGTTCTCAAATGCGTAAATTCTAAATTAGTGGACACAAAATACCTTTCACATACATTTCTTAAAATATTTATTTATTTCATTCAAAATACACTCCAACCCTAATAAAAATGCAGTTATCAAAGGTATGTGCAGAATACTCTTAAAATACCCTGAGATCGTAAATACTGTTGCGTTATACCCTATGTATGTTTTGACTGCGATACTTTGGTAGTTTGACTTAAACTACCAAAGTATTAAAAAGCTCGCCTATCAAAAGTTCACTTAAAGCAGATGTAGAATACACTGAAGTGCCTAAAACAACATTTGATTAGTTTGTCAATTGAGTTGTGCAGCATCGCACTGATAAATCAGCCCAGTTTATGTAATTGTTTCCTTTTTTATATCAAAAACACACCTGATGAGTTTCTTTCACACCAGTCACAAACGGGGCTCGGGAACTACAACCACAACACTTGCTGATGCTGGAAAGCTTCAACAGTGCTGTGAGCAGGCATATAGCCAGGAAGGCTACATGCCTTCCTGCCCCCCGCCCCCCCTCTTCCGAAATTTTTCATTTTGCTGGGGCCTCCTCTCCTTCCCCCTCATACAGCATTTTGTCATGCCCCCCGAAACAAAATCCTGGCTACGTGCCTGGCTGTGAGCAGATAGGTTTGGCGTGGTTGTGTTTGCACAGTGTTAGTTCACTGAACGTATACACTCACCATTGTACGTGATGTGAGTAACTTTAATGTAGTGACGTTAATGACCATAATAAATAGTCAACTAGTAAAAAAAGCAAAATAACTATTTTAAAGTGAAGACACTGCCTTGACTCGCTTCGTCCTGAGTGGTGGTGTGCAAAGAAGCAATAACATTTCTTCTAGGAGCCGTTTTTGTGGATATTGTTTTAGCGACTGCGCCGAACTATTATTACTTGTACCAATGCTTTTTAGTAAGAGATATCGTCCACGAACTTCAAAACACTGTTTCCCCTTTGACAGACTCCCGAGAAAAATATCGAATACTTGGAACCTTAATAAGTGCAGAGGGAGTCACCGGCCAAACGATTACCTTTAATATGTAGACTATATAAGGCTCTACAGCACTCAACGGGACTATGATCCTTTGATTTCCTCCCCCCAATACTCTGACTGACTGAACGGGACTATGATTCAGGTGTTCAGTGCGTCATGGTGCTTGTGTTTTTGTTCGTTTCTAATGCATTTGCATGTATTTAGTAGTGCCTTTAATTACCACAGGGACACCATTTACTAACAAAATCTAAAAAAGAAATGTGTAGCCGGTTTTAATACACAAATGGCATCTTGAGGGAGAGGGATTTATAGTTTTGGTATATCTAAAATCTTTTCTGATTAATATTTCTGATATATTTTGAATACCTTACGCGCGTATTTCGAGTGTGGACAGAATAATACAAAATGAATATTCATATTCGATATATTTCAACTTCGTTTCGAGTAAAGTCTCTTTTTGCTAAGGGTAGCACCATTTATTTGACGTTGCAGCTTAGC